CCCCCCCCCCCATTATCCAACTAAATCAAACTTGAACACCACTTAGATATATTTGGTACCTGTTTATCAATATCGAATGTAGCAGGAATAATCGTGTTTTATCTTATCTTATCGTTAGCTCGCTAGTTGAGCGCACGCATCTCTTCGACCGGAAAAATGGAGTTGGAAACGGAGACTACGACGATTCGACCAAATAAACGCCTCTTTGTTCTTTTCGCGAATTTTTTTTTTTTTTCTTCCTGTAGTGGACGCTTTGGGAAATTTGCTAATGGCAATTATCGATTATATGAGGTCTTTATCCTAGAAAGAAGAAAGAATACATAGAGAAGAAAATGAATGGATACTAATACACATTGAAATACAATTTACACAATGATACGAGTTTCTTTTTCCTTTTTTCACAAAAAATGAGATTTAAGATATTGAAGAAAATGTTTATTGCATATGAGATTCTGCATAAATATCTTGCGAATAATTTTTTTTTCGGAAAAAGAGACAGATTCGTTATTAAATTATAAAAGAAAAGTATTAAACACCAACTTGTATTAGAATCTATTTAGTTTTCTCTATCATTTCTACGTTAATTTCAAATTCTTTCAATTAAATTAGAAAAATTATAATTTTCGACTTTGCGTACAACTATCAAATTTTTCTAACAAGTTTTATCAATTGCGAACCCCGTGATTTTTTTTTCCATGGAAAGAACATTATTCCTTTGTGTTTCGACAGAGACGTTTATCTGAACATTGATAACGCGATGCATTTACATTCGATCACAAGAGACTACGAGGCGTAAATTTTTACAACTGTGCGAATTTGATAACTATATTAACGAACGCAGAATCTAGAAAGTACATTCTTTCATACCCTTGATTTACGATTATACTCGCGCTTTACCGAGGTCCAGATGTACACTCGTCTATATCACATCAATAAAACTGGCAGTAAAAAATGTATGAATTCATTCGTCTAGATTTAAGGATACGCGTAGATCTTTGAAGCGCACGTGGACATTTTGCTGCAGAAAAAAGCTTTTTTCACGCTTTTATCTCTTATTTTCCAGACAATTGTCAAAATTATATTCTACAAATAAAGAGTGCAATGATATAAAATTATATATTTCTGCAAGTGCCAGAATTCGTTAAATTTTTGCACGATGTGATTATTTTCTGAAGAAAGTTTATTTGCACATGCAGATATGTTTAGCAAATTTGATCACGTGCGTTTCTGACGTTTAGATTAGTAAAATTCTCGGTTATTAACTGTGTTTCTCGGATTTCTTTTAAAAAGAAATAACTTGCTTCGTGTTTGATGCAAATTTGAAATACCGCGAAACTCCATATAAAAGACTGCGTTGCACACCAGATTTTTATGAACAATGACTATCGAATTCGAGAAAGAAGCAAGACGTGAACAAATCGATATAATAATTGTCATTGTTATTCTAAGCAATATGCGCAAATCTGGCATAAAATCATTATTTGTTATAAAGTTTTCTTAATTCTTGAGAATTGGAAGCTTGATTTAATTTTGTTCTCGCTTTTTATAACTATTCGCAATTTATTTCTTTAATTTTCTTTCGCTAAAAGTTACAAAATTGGAAAAGAAGTGTTGTTTATCTTAGAATCTTTCGGAGTAAACAATAAAACCCGAAATTTTCTGCTTTAAAGTCTCTAAAAATAATATTATAATTTATTAGTTTCGTAACTTATCAAGCTTTATAAGGAGATTCCCTTACTCCCGTTATTTCATTATTATTATTATTATTTATCAATTCAAAAAATTAGTTTTTGCCGCGACAGACTTGATCGCGAAGGAACTAGATTCTCTTCTTGCAAAACGCGCACTATATAAAACAATCTGCACACATAAACTATAAAATCTCGTTTTCAAATTTGTACCGTTCCCGAAGCGTGCAATGTTAGAATTTAAGCGAGGATTGTTTCTTGTACAATTTTCTTTGCGAAAATTTACCGGAAGAAATAATTTATTAATCAGATTCTTATTAAATTGTTTATCTTTAGGAAATATGCATACGGGCGAGTCTTGTAAGAGAAAAAGCAGAAGATTACCCGATTTTCTTTAGTTATTTTTGAATTTAGTAATAACTTATGTTTAAAAACATAAAAAAAGTCTGCAAAAATATTTACAAATCTGACGCGATTTAACAAGAAAAATTAAATTATTCACGAAAGAAAAAGAAAACTGGACAAGAGATTAGTTTACTCGGCGATTATATGAAGACGATTTTTAAACATGGTATCGTATCCGTCATGATATTGATTATAAGAATACTAGTGGTTCTTTTGTATGTTTTTCTACTGCGCGTTTATATGAAAGCGTATTCTTTATGGAAAATGTAAAAAAGCCAAAACATTTAAAATGGGAGCTGTATGATTTCGTGCGATCTCGGTAGTAGGAAAGTTTCTTCCGAAGTCAGCCTCCTCAGTATTGTCACGGAAAATTCGAGAAAGTCTCTTTTCTAAATCTAAACCTTAACGATATAACTATGAATATATACATAGTACTATATACATATGCAATTATATCTGTAAATAATTTACGAATGTAAAGATTCTAATAAAATTTATCAATAACTTATGCGTTTTCCCTCTCACGAGAAAAACTTTCCTGCGCGCCGAGAGCTTTTTTTTTTCAACGTTATCGCTAAATTTATCATTTTAACGTTATCTTTAAATACAATCGGAAGAATTTAAACATTTTGTTTCAGATTCTTATTTTATCAGCGTATGTATATATATAATTCGTGACAATCTTTCATTTTTTGTAAGATATTCTTTCGAAGCGTTTGTTAAAAAAGTATTATACAGATTTGTTCAATTAAAATTATTTTCTGTAACAATTTTAATCGATGTTTGGATTTTCATATTCAAGAGTCGCAATTTTTATCTAAGAAGAAAAGACACGCGTTGTTGCGAAACAAATATCGAGAAGAATCACTATTATTCACAAAGATGATAAAGTTATCATTAATGAAGCAAGGAACATTAGAAAGTAGCGTATAAAATCGGGCGTAATTACACGCGAACTTTTGCATTGACTGAGCAAACGAATGTTAGAATGATACGTTATTGAAAATGAAAAGATGACAACGCTGTACAAATGTTCACACGTGTACATATTTATCGTTTAGATTTCGGGGAAGTTAGTGATAAAGAAATTACAGCAACCGTTATAATTAATCGAATGACATGTATGTCGAATGAGAATATAACTGAAAGAGAGTGTGCGTTAAATATGATTATTATTTGTTACAATAAACAAACTCTTCTAGGCGGTGCGCATTATAAATTCTAAATAATTATATTTCTACGTATATATATAAATAAATAAAAAAAGTATAGATATACATATACATATATATGTATTGTCTAAACGAAGAGAAGAGTGCGTTTTAAGGTCTTCGCGCATATTCTCACAAAGAACGAAAGTGCCATCATATCGCGTCGCGTAGGATTAACCCGTGACATGTAAACAAATATAGTAATTAGTAATAGTAAAATAATTGATAAAAAGAGCAAGTTAAAAATATAGCGGGCGAACCGTCGAACAGACTGTCGTACTCGGCGCGATATGAGACACACTTGTGTATTATAGCATTATACATATTATATATATATATTATCACCTATGTTTTTGTATTTGGTAATCTAAAACGAAAAAATATCGAATTAACGAACAGAAGATTAATAGAAAGTATATTATATATATTTGAGTAAATGCTCCGAGGGTTGGAGTTATCCGAGACGACGTTGATGAAGATAGTCCCTTTTCTTTTCTCTTTTTTTTTATCCTTTTTCTGCTCTTGAAAATAAAAAATAACGAGATTTATAGAGCGGTTTATAATATAATATAATATAATATAATTGTAAAGCCGAGAATATACACATACAACGGGCGACCCTGGATAAAATCAACACTCGTTTACTCATAATTTATTATGTACATCGTCTGAAAGAAACAGAAAGATACGTTCGTAAAGAAAAATAAACATAAGTATATACCAATGTTTTCGATTTGTATTTCCTTCTTCTTTCAAGGTATAATTGTTACTTTGATTAAAAGAAGAATATTATCGATTTTTAGAAAATGCCAGGGCATCCTTGATCTCCGTCGATTCTTTATTTCTCCATCGAACATATCTAAAAAGTGAGAACATATAATTAGATATATTTATATACATAAAAATAAATATTTTTTCTCTTATGAAACGTACAAACGAGGAACGTCCTTAATATATTGCAATTTTTTCGGCTCATTCGTATTAAGATCTTGTGTTCTGTGTCGTTCTCTCCACACTTTAGTCGAATTTAACAGAGTCGAGTAATCTCGTTTTTTCATTAATTGTGATCTTGTCTTTTTCGCCATTCGGTTTTTAGCCGACTTTTTTACTCTCGCTATCAAATTTTTCTTTTTGCTTATGTACTCTTCATCTTGTTTCCTGTTAATTTCGAAGTTATTCGTTAAATTTATATTAACAACATTCTAGAAACTTTTTTATTAGAATTAAGATTAGTATTAATTTTTTTCGAATATTAGAATTTTTTCGTTAATATCGTAAATAAGTTGTAGATAAACATGAGTTGGAACAATTGCAGTTTCTTTTATTATTTAGTTTTATTTAGCATGTTATTGCTTCAAATCGTTTAACTTTGAACATAATTGATATTACCTAAAAGCTTTAACCAACATCGGATTATATTTTGGTCCCGTTTTCGAGTTGTCTTTCGAAGCTTTAGAAGAAATTTCTATCGATTTTCTCTCACGATACTCCTTTAAAGCTTCTTGAATGCTCTTCCACCTTTCTCTCTTACGTTTTTCTAACGTGACGAGTTTCGATTCGATCAGAAACTTCGATTGCTTCTCGTCGATTAAACGTTTATTCTCTCTGTCAATTTTCCATCGCTTTATTAATTCCTTCTTTCGATCCGCGTTATTGACATCAACGAAATCGCAAGTCTTCGTTATTGTTCTTTCACATTTATCAGTCATGCGTGTTGGAAGTTTTTCTGTGACATTGGAAGTTGTTTTTCCTTGTGAAGTGTCTTCCACGGTTTCGATCTCTATTTTACTCTTGCAGTTTTTCATCTTCTCCATTTCTTTCTGTTTGCGCCACTCTTTAATGCTTGATCGTTGTTTCTCACGTAAGTTTAGATAAATCTTGTACCAAGCCTCGTGATTTACTATGGTCTCCGCAGTTAAATCCGGACATTTAATTTGAAGAGCGGCCACTAGAGCCGCGATGCTGTTACATTTTTTTCGCATTTTCAAGAACAGCGAGTGATCCTCGTCGCTCCAGTTATCGGTGTAGCCTGCAAGGTACGTGGTTTTTGTGTCACATTACGTATACAAATATGCACAATTTGATAATAAATAAGTCACGGTAATAAAAAAGTCTTACACAAGTCTTGCATACAGTTTAGCAACAAGAAAAAGAGATGTTTTATATTACTCTTTCATTCGATTAATGAATTTTTAATTAAGTAATAAAACCATTTAACACATACACTTAAACATGTTACATGTTACAAAATAACATCATGAATTATATTTTGCAACATACTTTGATTACTTATACGAAGGCGAATGCAAATGTATTGAGTACCTGTTTTAGTAATTAACGCGTGGAAGTCTTCGATCCCCTTATAATCATTGCACTTTTTATTTTCTTTATTAGAGAATGTGACAGATGTCGGTTTGCTATTAGTTGCACTCTCATACTTATGTAAATTCGATTCAAATTCGTGTAATTCAGACTCGATAGTTGTTTGCTCCTGCGACAAAATCTGCAGTTGGCAAGATTCCTTGAAGTCTCGAATTTTTTGCGACAATTTCACAAGCCGTTGTTTGTATGCATTTATATCTAAATAAATGTTTATTCGCATTATAAATATTGAAAACATAGAAATTATGCGGTACAATTAACTAAGAATAATGTGTAAAAATTTTATATTGGAAGCGATTCACACACAGGAGAGAGGACGAATATGCGAGAATAATTCTGTCAAATACAAGAATAACACTATCAATTGAAAATAAAATAATTTAAAACTTTACCTAACTTCTGGATCTTTTCGAGACAATCTGTAGCAGATTTTGCCGATCGAAGTTCTTCGGCAATTTCCTCCAAACGACTTCTCATGCTACCCAGAAAAATTTCTCTTCAAAAAAATATTCGAATTAAATTGATATAATAAAATATCGCATGAGCCAGCTTGATATGCATAACGCGCAATCTAAGATCGACTAATTCGTTTTTCTCTGCTTACCTGTTTTTCGAGATGTCACTCATTTTATGCAAAACGGGTCGTAGAACTTCTGGTTCCAGTTTCATGTTCTCCATCAAGTTAGCGAGATTCTTTTCCATCAAATACTCTTGCTGCTTTAACTTCAATAAAGACTTTTTGTGCGTATTTTCAGTAGTATGCACTTTTTCACATGACGGGATTCGCCTTTCTTTCTTGTCTTCTTTGCGGATAATTTCACTCATTATTATATCCAATTGCGATATTAATTATTGCGCAAAGTGTAAATTTTTTGTTATAATGAAATAATTTAATTTAAAAATCCAAGATTTTTTGTTATAGATTCGTAGACGCGTCGTGTGTTTTTGTCAGGAAACAACATTCGTTGGATTTTGTGTCCTGAGTTCTGACAAAGTTTCACATGTGGGTTTCCATAGTAATTCACCACATAACTGTCTCCCTTCTTATGTAATCGCACCTGCTGATTGAAATTGCATAGGAAACTGTTATACAGATTGTGTAATGTGCAAAAAAGCAAAAATAATTCTTTCAAGTATAAATATTTTATTTATGTAATAAGTATTTAAACACAAAAATATATAATTTTATATGTTATATTCAAAGTACATCCTTTTTCGTAATATGCACTTCATAAAAGAATTAGAATTAATCAAAAATATATGTTTTATATATCAAATTTTTATTTATTAACTTTTGCAAATAATATTTATCATTGTAATTATTTAATTCCTAATTGAAATTATGTTTATAAATCATTTAGTGATTTCAATGAAAATGTATTGCAATTATTTTTGCATATCATTATTTCAACAATTATCTTGCATATAATGATTTTCTCGAAATAATATATCTAATATATTATATAAAGAATATAAAAAATAAATATATAAATATATATCCATAAAAAGATAAATATATAAAAATATATCCATTGTTATCTAAAGTCGATTAAATCCATACCTATAAATACAAGTTTATCAACGGTTGCACAAAGATGAAGATTTTCGATAATCATATATATTATGACTATAATAATACAATACAAAAATAGATATATGTTAGATATAAAAAAAATGCATTTATTTGTTACAAAAAATGCCTCGTTTATTATAAATAATAAAAAACTGTAATACGGGAAGAGAAATATATACATCTCCGCGTTTTCGAAAAATTAGGGGATATCTATTATTGAATGATATTTCATAAATCAAATATATAAATTATTACACAAATAATTTTATAATAGACAAAAGATCTCGTCGAGGAAAGAACATTTTCTGTTGATATACACTCTGACAGTGTTTATGTTTACAGTCGTCGCGTGTCTCGATACTCCGTTCTGTAGCGACCCCTCGCGGTGTCGCCGCGGATCAATTCGATCCCTCCCCTCTCCTTTCCGCCCGCGGCTCTTCGACCGTTCGCGTTGCGGCGCATTTATACGGGCGGCCTGTCTCTAGGCGCCTCAGTCTATGATCGAGACGCGACAGCGTGAGTATGGGGTGCGCGCGCAATACCCCGCGAGACGTATCGTACGGCATTGCGCTTTGAACCGTTTGACGACGAGCTACGACGCGACGATTCCGCTTTTCGACAGGAGATAAGAAGGACAAACACACCTCGGATTCCCGTCTGCCTGCAAAATCGCACCTCGTCGCAACGCAGTCACTTGAACAGCGCAGTTCGCGGCGCGAGCGCGCCTGATACGCGTATGTCGCCGGGAAATCCGACCGGCTCCGAGCATTCGATTTTCCGCTCGATGAGTGAAAGATTCGCCGCGTTATCGTGAAACGAGATCGGGATCCTCCGCGGGATTCTCCGCGATTGCGGTGATCCGGTGTTGGTGACTCGGGAAGAAGGATCTCCTTTGAATTTGCGAAGCAAACGTAAGTACCAATAAGGCTCATGTGTTGTATGTATATGCGCTTGGACGGTTAGATACGTGAAATTGGCTGCGTTTTTGCGACGTTTATTTCGAACGTGATCGAAGATAGGTATTATAAATGATTGATTCGTTCCGCGCGGATCAAAGGAAATCTAGGTACGTTATTTCGAATGACATTGAAGGCAAACTATCGTTTTGTAATAATTAGCAGATGCATTTGTAATTGGCGTACTTTGAACTGTTTTTTTAGCGCAATGAAAGATCATTTTAAGAAGGAATATATTTTTTATCTTAAACAGATGACGATTGCAGCAAAGAAAGAGAGTATATTATGACTATAATAATACAATACAAAAATAGATATATTTTAGATATAAAAAATGCATTTATTTGTTACAAAAAATGCCTCGTTTATTATAAATAATAAAAAACTGTAATACGGGAAGAGAAATATATACATCTCCGCGTTTTCGAAAAATTAGGGGATATCTATTATTGAATGATATTTCATAAATCAAATATAAATTATTACACAAATAATTTTATAATAGACAAAAGATCTCGTCGAGGAAAGAACATTTTCTGTTGATATACACTCTGACAGTGTTTATGTTTACAGTCGTCGCGTGTCTCGATACTCCGTTCTGTAGCGACCCCTCGCGGTGTCGCCGCGGATCAATTCGATCCCTCCCCTCTCCTTTCCGCCCGCGGCTCTTCGACCGTTCGCGTTGCGGCGCATTTATACGGGCGGCCTGTCTCTAGGCGCCTCAGTCTATGATCGAGACGCGACAGCGTGAGTATGGGGTGCGCGCGCAATACCCCGCGAGACGTATCGTACGGCATTGCGCTTTGAACCGTTTGACGACGAGCTACGACGCGACGATTCCGCTTTTCGACAGGAGATAAGAAGGACAAACACACCTCGGATTCCCGTCTGCCTGCAAAATCGCACCTCGTCGCAACGCAGTCACTTGAACAGCGCAGTTCGCGGCGCGAGCGCGCCTGATACGCGTATGTCGCCGGGAAATCCGACCGGCTCCGAGCATTCGATTTTCCGCTCGATGAGTGAAAGATTCGCCGCGTTATCGTGAAACGAGATCGGGATCCTCCGCGGGATTCTCCGCGATTGCGGTGATCCGGTGTTGGTGACTCGGGAAGAAGGATCTCCTTTGAATTCGCGAAGCAAACGTAAGTACCAATAAGGCTCATGTGTTGTATGTATATGCGCTTGGACGGTTAGATACGTGAAATTGGCTGCGTTTTTGCGACGTTTATTTCGAACGTGATCGAAGATAGGTATTATAAATGATTGATTCGTTCCGCGCGGATCAAAGGAAATCTAGGTACGTTATTTCGAATGACATTGAAGGCAAACTATCGTTTTGTAATAATTAGCAGATGCATTTGTAATTGGCGTACTTTGAACTGTTTTTTTAGCGCAATGAAAGATCATTTTAAGAAGGAATATATTTTTTATCTTAAACAGATGACGATTGCAGCAAAGAAAGAGAGAGAAACGGAGAGTGAGAAAGAGAGTGATATTAAATATTAAATATTAACAACACAAGAAAATTATCATAAAATTTTCTGATTTATAAATTTTTACTTTAATAAAAAGGGATTTAAATTTTATTGAAAAAAATTTCTCTTGTTCTTTAAATTTTTGAGTATTTATTAAGCAGATCTGTAGCTCATGTAATATACAAATTTTGACATATTCGGATTCCTAAATCGTCACGTTTCTTTGAATAGAATTATCTCTGCAGAAATATCGATTATAAATATCACCTGAGATAACTGGAATTTTCTATTATAAAATACAGAATTTCCTACAAATTTTTTTGCGATGCCCTCTTTATAATTAGGAAGTTATGTCATTTAAATTAGAAATGGAGTCATCTAAACTATCATCAATGTAAAGAAACCTAAATAACTTTATTATATTTGTTGCATAGCACAGATGATTCATTGGCAAGTTCGCTTATGCAGCGACATTGATAAGGAATCATGGCACGTGATATTAATGTTAGACTTTAACTTGAAATGGATATTCCAGACGATAATCGAGCAAACAAAATAATTTCAAATAATGAAAAACAAAATAAATTTCCTGAAAAGTTATCGAATATAAAATTATCGTAAGATCAAGTATATTAATATTATTAATTTTATTGCGCATGTGTATCATATTAGAATATTATGTTTAAATAATAGTGCATTTTGATATTATGCAGAGTGTAGTACGCTAATCTTGTTATAGAGAGCCATAAAATGTACAACAATTAATTAAAGGATTATTTTATATAATTTCGTGCCATTATACCTTCCTATTCTGGCTACTTAATCATCCGTTAGAGTAGTGTTTTTAGAGAAAGTTTCATTGTTCGATCATAAGGAAGTTCTGCTTCATAATCATTTAATCACATTAATTACGAGTGATTGCTGTTACGATAATATAACTAATTATTCGCAAAAAATGATACGTTATGATTAACAGTAATTAATCAATATTTATGTTATACCATTTCCATACAGTACATTTTTTACATTTCGTTTATTTAATCTCTCATTAAAATCATTTTTACATAGAAAGCTGCATTGTTCTAGCAATTGTAAGGAAATATTACACCATAGTAACTAATTAGAAGTCATTAGAACGATTAAATCATACATTGTGTGACTTTCTTTACATTAAATAATCTCACATTGTGTGTACTACAGAAACGAAGTAGAGCGAATAATTTATTAACAGTCATGACTTTCTCAAAGATAATGATTTATTTTCGAAGAGACTAATAAGACAGATTAATCCTATTATCAATTACATCTCATATATTAATTTTTATATATATTTCGATTATATATTATTATATGTACATATATTAAATTGCGAATATATCGGAAAGGAAAGCAGAAAATGAAGATCGAAAATTTGAAGAATCTTCAATTTAAACCGACGATACGCGGATTAGTTTGCAATTGACGAGTAATATTCGCCCACGTGATGGTTCGCGCGCGCGTAATAGCCGCGATAATTTCGCGGCGATTGAATTGCCGATGCAATTACTCGCCGGAGGCGCGAGTACACTCTTAGAGCGAAGATGATCGAGATAAATGGATGGAGACAAAGTGTTTTGTCGCGTGAGATAGTCAGTCTCGCGAATTGCACACCGCGCGCGGTGCGCAACAAGATACATCATTCACACTCTCTCTCTCTCTCTCTTTTGCTCTCCTGATAATAAGTAATAAACGTGGGCATGATGTATAATAAGCGGCGGGCATGACGATGTTTGCATATCGCGACTATTCTATTGAACGACATTGAAGTTTTCTTTGATCTTTATCGATTTTGCATACGCGAAAGATTGCACTTTGTGTATATCTTAAGAGCATTTTTTTTTATGGGACATGTACTGCGTAAGAAAAAATTTGTATAACATTTGAAAGCAATTTTAATGAAGAATAATGTTGATCTGGTTTTAACTAGACATTTCTTACAATGATGACTGAAAAAGGTCATAAGTATAATTATCTTTTTCTTTTTTTTTTTTTTTTTCATTTACGAGCCAATAACGCGACGATTTTAATAAAACTTTGATGCAAAAAAATTCGGAATTCTCTCAAATCGCCTTTTTAGATTCCTACATTGTTCTTTAACTGCGTTTCGCGTGTTACACTGTTTTATATTCTTCGTTTCTTATCTATATTTTTTCTCAACTCGATCAATTTTTCTTTCATTTTGTTTATTACCAAAATAAAGAGCCACTACGATAAAAAAAAAAAAA